AGGGGGCCCCCCCTGCAGCAGCAGGTAGGGGGGGCCCCTCCCCTTCTGCTGCGCTCGCGCGCTGCTGTCGCGCTGCTGCTGCCTCGGGGGGCCCCCGGGGCTCCGCAGTACCCTCCCAGGGCTGCACCGGGTTGGGGGCCCCAGAGCCCTGGGGGCCCCCCTGCTGCAGCCCCAGAGGCCGCGGGGGGCCCCCCGGCGCTGTCCTGGGACGGGGGCCCCCCGTGGGGGGCCCCCCGGGGGCACCCCCGGGGAGCCCCTCGGGGGGTCCCCGGGGGGCCCCCGCAGCGCAGTGTTTGGACTCTGCAGCATTTGGGAATAGACTGGAGTGGCAGAGTGGAGAGGGAAATGGGGGGCGCTGCTTGTCTGCTGCTGCTGCTGCATCTTCTTTGCCTGGAGGTGCTGCATGCATGCATTGAAGGAATTGAACTTGAGCAGCAGCAGGAAGCAAAGAAGCAGCAGCAGGAAGCAAAGAAGCAGCAGCAGGAAGCCAAGAGGCAGCAGCAGGAAGCAAAGCAGCAGCAGCAGGAAGCAAAGAAGCAGCAGCACCTGCAAGGCCGGCAGCAAGAAGCTGCTGCAGCGCTGCTGCTATGAAGGGCTCGCAGTTGCTGCCGAGCTTCTGGGCGAGGCGGCCGGCGTCCATTTCTTCTGTGGGTTTTGTTGAAGATTAAATTTGTTGAAAATACTTAAAAACATATTTTAAATATATTTTAAAATATATGTTTTTAAAGTATATTTGAAAAGATTTGTTGCATTCAAACAAAAGGCGCACCTGTGGCCAGCATGTAGGCCTTGACCTCTTCGACGATGCGCAGCACTGCACTCAGAGGTGAGACACTGCTGCTGCTGCTGCTGCAGCTGCTGCAGCAGCAGCAGCAAGGGCTATCAACTCACCAGCAGCTCGCCCGCCCTCCAGCGGCGGCAAGATCTGAGGAGGGTCCGCGAGGGACTGTATAGACAGCTCGAGGGAGTGGTGCTTGGTGTCGATCTGGAGCAGCAGCAGAGCAGCATGAGAGCAGGGGCTTTGCTGCAGTGCTGCTGCTGCAGCAGCAAAATGTACCTTTTCGCTTATTGCAGTGAAGGGCACGACGCCCCCGAAAGATATTTCGTCCAGCCGAGACACAAACCCCGCAGGGACGTAGTCTGCTGGGGCCTGCAGCGGGCGCCGTGTGTCAGCCGTGCTGCAGCAGCAGCAGCAGCAGCGCGAGCTGCTCACCTGCGTCTCGTTGAAGAGCAGCTGCGGAGCACAGAGTTTGCTGCTGCTGCTGCAGGGCTTGTGGGGTGGTGGACTTACTCGGAGAGAGACGTAGGCGTTGTCGGGCAGGGGGTCTAGCTGCTGCGTAATGGCGCAGAGGGACTGCAGCAGCTGCAGGGAAAGCTGCATGAAAGGTGGAGCAGCAGCAGCAAGCATTTGCGGGCCTTTACCGCTTCAGTTTGCCTCTTGGCTTCAGCCTTGGAGACCGGCTGGACCTCGCGACCTGCTGCTGCTGCTGCTGCTGCTGCTGCGTGGCTGCCGCTGAAAGCCACGGACACGTCCGGCTGCCGGCTGCCGTAGCCAAACGTGAACTGGTAAGACTCCAACAGCGCGTCTGTCTTCTCTTCGTGGATTCCGAGGAGAAGTTGTTCCAAACATTCCTAAAAAAGAAATTAGGAAGTGCCTTTCGCGTGTCAGTGAAAGCTACGCACTTTCTGCAGCGCGTCGTTCACGCCCGTGCGCAGCAGCCCAACAATAAATGCAGATTTCTTGTCTGCGGGCCGCAGCTGCACCAGCTTCAGGCCTTCGAACCACACGGAAGAGAAAGCTGCTTCTTCGAAGATATTCCGCAGGTACAGCACCGAAGAAACCCCCAGGGAAACTGTGTTTTTCAGTATTTGCAACGACTGCTGACGAGTCGTCACTTCCACGCGCGTCCGCGTGGCCACTTGCATCATTTTCGCGTTTCAAAAACTAAATCGGCCGTTTTCAATTCGCTTTCCAACTCCTTTCGAAACAAGATTGCACTGACACCAGTGCCGGCCGGCGACCACTGCCCGTGCTGCATAGACACCCGAAACCACAGGAAAGCGTCTGCAGAAAAAGGAAAAAACAGAAAATGCAGATTCAGGAATTGAGTTTATATGTTCCCCTAGTAATGCTGTACACAATTATGTGCAAGATCGGCACGGGGATTCCTGCAGCTTCGTTGGCAAGAGCAGAACTTGCAAAGCACCTCCGAGAAACGGAACTAGGGGATGAGGCGTCGAAAATTGCCTTTTCTGGTTTAAGTGATGTACACACGCAAATACAAGTCAATAAAGAGATTCCTGATGGTTCTGGCTGCGGATTTGGCAAAGAAACACAAAGGCGGCAGCTGATCCTGCAAAATTCAACTTCTGACTGCAGTCGCTGCGCAGCAGCTGGAAACAGAAAGTTCTGCAGCAAAAGTTTGAAATTAAGTCTGCGCAAGTCTTAGCAGCAAAAATAAAACTAGAAAGCTGGGGAATTGTCTGCAGATCGCCCCATTTTTGAACAAAGTTGCATTCTTGAACAGAATAATTCTTGAACGAAATGGCCCCAGGGGAGCTGCTGGGGAACTCTGGCCCCGCTAGCGCCGTTCGCAGCATCTGTCTTGGCCATTTCAATTTAATTAAGACACAACTTGCTGCAGGCTTCCTGCTGCAGTCCCCCCACTAGCAGCAGCTAGCTGCAGCTAGCTGCAGCTAGCCGTTTCTGCAGAATAGAACCCCCTAAAGAACAGCAGCAAACGGCAGTTTGCTGCGCGCTAAGGCCCGCAGCAGCTTCAGGGCTGCGCCTGGCGCTGCGGCAATTCAAATATGGGCTTTTCTGCTTCTCTTTGAGCAGCAGAAGCTCCCGAGAGAGCAGCAGCAATTGACTGGAGGCTCGTCAGCTTCTCCTGCAGCGTCTTTTGCTGCGCTGCTTGCGAAGACATCGCCTCCAGGAGAGAAACAATCTGCAGCAGCAGAAAGCAGCAGCAGCAGCAGCAGTGGCGTCTCACACCCTGCAGTGCGCGGGCAGCAGCTGAAGTGGGCGGCTGTGGCTGTCCCTCGCTGCTGCTGCTGCTGCTGCCGCCGCTTGCGTGTCTAACTGCCTCGCAGCCGGGCTGGGCGCAAACCCTCTTTTGGGGTTTGGCCGAGCTGCTGCTGCAGCGCTAGGGTTTAGGGTTTGGCTCACGCTGGCGAAGCGGACTTTGGCCTGGCTGAGGGCTTGAGTTACTTGGGGCAAATTGTCTGCTAGGGTTTTGCAAGGGGCCAGCTGCTGGTGTAGAGACAGCACAATCTTTTCTGGAAGGAATTCCGAAAAGTCTTCTTCGTCAAAAGTGCCTCTTTCCTCCTGCCACCGCTGCTGCTGCCGCTGCTGCTGCTCCTGCTGCTCCTGCTGCTGTTCCTGCTCGTCCAGGCAGCAGCGCACCACCGACAGCCGCGCCGACAGCTGCGACAGCGGCGAAGGATCTGCTGCCAGCGACAGCAGCTGGTGAAGCCGCGAAGCCAGCTCTGAGCCACAGCAGCAGCAGCTGCAGCAGCAACAGCAGCAAGTGTAGCAGAAGCAAGCCTGCAGCTATTCAGAAGTGCCCCAGCGGATGAAAGGCTGTGGTTGCTACGAGGCCCAAGGCTTCCTTGGTCACTGGCTGGCTATCTAGCCAGCTACCTAGCTAACTAGCTAGCTAGCTATTTAGCTGGCTAGCTAGCTGGCTAGCTAGCTGTCTAGCTGTTTGCCTAGATGGGGCTCACCAGCTAGAGTTGGGGCCTCCGAGTCTGCTTCCCACTGAGTCGCTAGGCGCAGCACTTCAGGCTCCTCCGTTCGGTTTGCTGCTGCAGCAGGAAGGCAGGCCTGCTCCAGCCCTGCAGCAGCAAGTGCATGCACGAAGCGACCGAAGAATGAGCTGCATGCATGCGCTGCTGCTGCTGCTGCCGCTGCTGCTGCTGAGAAGCAGGAGCACGGCGGTCGCTGCTTTGATTCGTGAAGGCGAAAAGCAACAGCAATAACGGTAGCAGCTCCGCAGCGCGACCACAGCAGCAGCAGCAGCAGCAGCAGCAGCATCGGACACAACAAGCCTACTTTTGAGTCTTTCTTCAAGCAGCAAGAGCCGCCGAGCAGCAGCTCCTTGAGCCGCCGCAGTCAAAGGCACCGCATCCTGCAGCAAACAGCACGCCAAAACCTTTTAATCCCTCAAGCGCAGCAAGCGACTCCCTAAACCCCAAACCCTAAACCCTAATTTGGGGTTTCGACGCACCAAAACCTCAATGGCGCTGCCGCTGCCGCCCCCTTTCTGCTGCTGCTGCACCGGAACTTGCAGGTGCTCCTGCACACACAAGCAGACACACGGGTGCAGGCATGGCCGCGTCTGCAGCAGCAGCAGCAGCTCGTGTTGCTGCAGCAGCAACAGCAGCAGCAGCATCGAGTGCAGCGGCAGACGCTTCCCAGCCACCTGCAGCAGCAGCAGCAGCAGCAGCAGCACCGAGTGCAGCAGCAGACGCTGCCCAGCCACCTGCAGCAGCAGCAGCAGCAGCGAGTGCAGCAGCAGACGCTGCCCAGCCACCTGCAGCAGCAACACACTTGAGCCTCTCTTGCCAAAGTGTCCATCTCCACACAAGAGGTGGGGCAGTATAAGGGCGCTAGGAGGCCCCCTGTGTCTGTGGGGTTCAGCAGGGAGGGCTGGCTCATGTCTTGCTGCTGCTGCTGCTGCTGCTGCTGCTGCGGCTGCTGCTGCTTGAACAGCACCTGTTGCAGCGCCGTGTCTGCTGCAACGCCCTCTCGCACTGTTGTTTCTGCTTCATGTGCTGCTTCTGAGTCCAATTGAAGGCAAAGACACAGACACAAGCACGCGAAGTCCCGCTGCAGTCGCTGCAGCACAAGTTCCTGCTGCTCAGCGCTGTGTCCGCAGCAGCTGCTGCTGCAGCGTGAGCAAGCTGCCACTGCAGCATCAGCTGCAGCAGCAGCAGCAGCAGCTTCCTAATGCTGAGCGTCCCGTGTGGGCCACTGACACGATCTTGTCTCGGCAGCAAACCGAAATAGAGAAATCAGCCGCTGCTGCATGCTCAAAGCTGCTGCTGCTTTGCTTTGGAAGCAATTTACCTGCCAGTGCTTCGTTAAGAGAAAGGACATAAGCAGCACCAGAAGAAGAGTCCCCGTGCTGCTGCTGTCTCTTTCGGGATTCGTCTGCGTGTGCACACAGACTCTCCTGCAGCAACAGCAGCCAGACCAGCAGCAACAGCAGCAGCAGCAGCAGCAGCGAAATACGCTCCAGTGGCATCCATACACTCTAGAGAAATGCTGCAGGACGTACCGCCATCCAGCATCTCAAGCAGCCCCAGCAGCAGCAGCAGCAGAGCCCCAGCAGCAGCACCCCAGCATCACCCCAGCAACACCCAAGCAGCGCCCCAGCACCACCCCAGCACCAGCAGCACGCCAGCAGCAGCCCCCCAGCAGCAGCAGCAGCAGCAGCAGCAGCAGCAGCAGCAGCAGCCTCACGAGGAGCTCGACGGCCTGCGGGACCTCGAGTCGGAGGCGGGCCAGTCTGCTGCGGGGCGACTCCTTCTTCTCCGTGGGGCCCCTCGTGTGCATGCGGTCGAACTTGGGGGGCCCCTGCAGCTGCCGCAGGTCGTCGTCTTGCCGCTGGTCCACTGCAGCAAGCCAGCCACTGCAGCAAGCCGGCTGCTGCAGCAAACGGCCCCTGCAGCGGCTGGCTAGCTAGCTAGCTGGCTAGCTCCTCGCTAGCTGCCAAATAGCTGGCGGCTAGCTAGCTGGTTGCTTGCTCGCTAGTTGCTAGCTAGCTTCTAGCTAGCTGCTAGCTATCTAACGGGCAACTAGCTGTCAGCTAGCTAGCTGCTAGCTAGCTAGCTGCTAGCTAGCTAGCTGCCTGCTCAGCTAGCTTGCAGCTAGCCATTGCTGTGTGCGTATTTCTGTCGGCTCAGAAAGTCCCTTTCTGAAGAGCAGCGAGCAGCGGCAGCAACTGCTGCGGGAACAGCAACATGAAGCAGCAACAGCAACAGCAACAGCAGCAACAGCAGCAGCAGCAGCAGCAGCAGCAGCAGCAAGTCGCCATACGTGAGAGCTGCGCCCCAGCGAAACGCTCAAAAGCCAAGTCAAGGTCGGGCGCTTCGAAAGAGACTTCCATCAGCAAGGCTTCGGATCCAGCGTCTGCGCAGCAGCAGCAGCAGCAGTAGGAGCAGCACGTGCAGCAGCAGCAGCAGGACCAGCAAATGCTCAGCCGCTGCGGCCGTGGCAACTGCAGCACCGGTGAGAGCCGCCCCAGTAACTTGAGCTCCAAGCGGCAGCAGTAGCAGCAGCAGCAGCAGCGACAACAGCAGCCACAGCTGCAGTAGCCACTGCAGCTGCAACTGCAGCAGCAACGGCATCAACAGCTGCAGCAGCAGCAACAACTGCAGCAGCACTCACCTATTGTTCCTGCATCGTAGCCAGCGCCGCGCGAAGGCTGCGGCGCTGGCGGCATGCCGGGGATTTCATAGACCTCGGGCTCGCTGGCCTGCCGCTGCTCCTGCTGCTGCTGCTGCTGCTGCTGCTGCTCTTGCTGCTGCTGCTGCTGCTCTCTTCTTTTGCTGACCTGCTCCTGCAGCTCCTCATATATGTCGCCCAAGAACGTCCGGTTCATCCCAGCGAGGGCATCCAGCGTCTATGCAGCGCAGTGAGGCAAAACAAACCCTAAACCCTAAACCCTAAACCCTAAACCCTAAAGGCTAAAGCGCCGCCCGCAGCCGCAGCTTGGCAACACACAAAACCCTTCGCACTGGAAGTGCAGCTCAGGACCGAGCCCCTAGAACTCTCCAGCTAGCTAGCTAGCTGGCTAGCTAGTTAGCCTGCTAGCTAGCCAGCTAGCCGGCTAGCCGGCTAGCCAGCTAGCCAGTTAACCAGCTAGCCAGATAGCCAGCTAGCCAACTTGTCCACTATCCAGCTAATCAGCTAGCCAGCTAGCCAGCCATTAGATGAGGCGTATCGTGCGCCCTTCGGGTGCAGGGCTCCAAGCCTGGGGATTAGGGTTTAGGGTTTAGGTTTAGGGTTTAGGGTTTAGACTTTCTGTTTACCTCTGAGGCCAAATGGTTGCCGCCCCGCGGCCGCAAAACCCGACGAAAAGATTGGCGCCTTTTGAACTGCCAGTCCTGGTGGCCGGGGGCGGCTGCGCTCAAACCCCAAACCCTAAACCCTAAACCCTAAACCCTAATTGCTAAACCCTAAATCCTAAACCCTAAACCCTCAGCGAGGCTCGAGACCTACGCGGGCGGTGCAGTGTGCCGGCAGCTTCCCGTATGTCGTGGACGAGTGCCTCAGGCATCTGCACAGCAGCAGCAGCAGCAGCAGCAGCAGCACAGCAGCAGCAACAGCAGCAGCAGCACGGCAGCAGCAGGACACCCTTTGCGCCTCGCGTCTGTCGCAGGATGCGACTATGGGCAAAGTGGAAAGCCAAAGTGTCGAAAATGGATTTGAATAAAACCCTAAAAGAGTGTAAAAGATTAAGAGTCTTTTTTCTTAAAAGTCCTTTTTGCTGCAGCAGCAAAACTCACTTCGTTCGAAAGGCTTTCTTCCTGGCTGCCTGAGAGGGCAAACTGGGCCCGCCGGCGCCCAAACCCGCTCAGCTCTGAACACAAACCCTAAACCCTAAACCCTAAACTATAAACCCTAGATCCTAAACGCTAGGCCTCAACTAACGCTAAACCCTAAACCCTATAGCCTACCCGCAAGCTGGCGCCAAACCCTGAACCCTAGGCTCTAAGCGCTAGCCACAAGTAGACCCTAAACCCTAAACCCTAAAGCCTAAACCCTAGGCCGTAGGCCCAAAAACCCCGCCCCGAACAGCCGCCAAGCCCAGACCCGCGAACCCCAAACCCTAAACCCTAAACCCTAAACCCTAGGCCTGACGGGAGTCGAGGAAGTCTCCCTCGTCGGGTTTCCAAAAGATCTCCGCGAGGCCTTCTTGGCCAGGCGCAACAGCAACTTCTGCAACAGAAAGAGAAGCAGAATGGCCAAAGAGAGAAGCGCTGAGGCGCGGGGAGGGGTTGCTGCTGCGCACGCTCTCCGCGCCGTCCCCCTGCTGCTGCTGCTGCTGCTGCTGCGGGCGGCGGGGGGAGTGCGCGGCGCCCGCTGCAGCAGCAGCAGCAACTGCTGCTGCTGCTGCTGAGGCCTGCGCAGACAGCGAGTCTTCCCGCTGCATCAGACGCAGACGGCCAGAGCCAGCCACCACCACGCCGAAGGGAGTTGTGCTGCTGCTACTGCTGCTTCTGCTGCTGCTGGCTTCCGCCCGCGCCCCCAAAGCCTTCATTTGCTCCGCCAAGCCGCTGCTGCTGCTGCGCAAACTCCAAGAGGAAAATCGCATTATGTCGCTGTCTCTTTTGCTGGGCCTCTTCCCCTCCCCTTGCTGCTGCGCGGCCCCGCTGGGCTGCCGCTGCGGCTCCTGCTGCTGCTGCTGCTGCTCCATGGACCCTTGCCCTTGGAGCTGCTGCGCCTCTTGCTGCTGCGCTGCCGCTGCTGCTAACCCTACGGGGCACTCTCCACCAGAGGGGCTGTTGCTGCCACCCCCAGACTCGTGGGTCCCCTCCGCAGGGGCCCCCTGAGGGGGCCCCTGAGGGGGGCCCCTCTTCTCTGCTTCGGGCATTGAAGCAACAGCTGCTGCTGCTGCTGCTGATGCTGGGGTAAGCCCTGGGCTGCTGGGGGCCGGTAAGGCCCAGTTTGTGCTCCTGTGTGGTCCGCGCTGCTGCTGCTGATGCTGCTGCTGCCGCTAGCGAGACAGCAGCAGGAGTTGCCGCCGCGGATTTCGGTCGTCCTCCCTCTGCCCAGACTACCACATCTCCCCCGCAGCTGCAGCAACGATTATACCTTCCCTATGTTGGGACTGCAGCAGCAGCAGCAGCAGCAGCAGCAGCAGCAGCTTGTTTGAGTCGTATCCCAGCGGAGGCCCTCGTTTGCTGCGCTGCTAGGCGAGAGGCTCCTCTGCTGTGTGCCTCTCCCTCAGTCCTTGAAATGAATTTATTTCTCGATTCCAATCTTCTATAAAGGGGAGAACGGACGGAGAGCAGCAGCAGCAGCCGGTGCTACAGCAGCTGGGGGCCCCGGCGCTGCGCCGAGCGGAACGTGACCAGTGGCTCTGCGAGGCCTGGGACTTCTCCGGGTTTCTTCTCGCTCTTTATTTATCATTTTAAATGTTTTCCATTTGCATTTGGCAGAGAAGTTTGCCCGCCGCCGTTGCTTGGGCTTGGTTTGCCTGCGCAGTGCGCTGCAGTCTTTGCTGCGGCGTTCACACTGCAGCATCTCCACACCATGCTTGCTAGTATCCTAAACCCTGTAAAGCACAATTTAATTGTTTTAATTCGATTAAATCCGAATATTATGAACTGCTGCAGCGAAATTATGAAGAAAATCGGCGACTTTGTTGCCTGGCCGCAGCATTTGATTCCCCTGCAGATGCCCAGGTACTGGTTTGGCCCACGGCCAGTTTAGGCTTGCTGCTGTTTCTGTTAAGCCCTTCAGCAACTGCTGCTGGTGTTGCTGCTGTTAGATGTAACTGCTGCGGCTAGTGCTGTAGGGTGCTGCTGCTGCCAGTGCATTTAGGTGTTGCTGCTGCTGGCTGCTGTTACTTGTTGCTAACTTGTTGCTGCCCCTGCAGCTGTTGCGTCTTGCTGCTGCTGCTGCTATTGCGTCTTGCTGCTGCTGCTGCTGCTATTTGGGCTTGCTGCTGCTGCTGCTGCTATTTGGGCTTGCTGCTGCTGCTGCTATTTCGGCTTGCTGCTGCTGCTGTTGCGGCTTGCAGCCGCTGTTGCGCCTGGTTGGTGCTGCTGTTGCGTCTGTTTACTGCTGGTTCTGCTGCGGAGCCCGCTGCCGTTAGCAACGACGAAGCTAGCAGCAGAAGAAGCCGCAGCTGCAGCAGCTCCTGCTGCAGCGAGAGCCCTAAAAGTATTTTCTGGGGGAATTCTTTACACCTCAGCCCAAAGGCTGCAGCGCCACAAATGGCCTGGCTGGCCAGGTAAGCCGCAGCAGCAGCAGCAGCAGTTAATGCTGCTGCTGCTGCAGCTGCTGCCTGGCTCAGAACCCCAGCGCCCTCGCTGCGGAGCAACCAGCAACTCCGGGGGTGCCAAGCCGGGCCGCTTGTGCAGCAGCAGCGCAGCAGAGAGCCTGCAGCAGCAGCAGCAGCAGTTGCAGCAGCAGCACACAAAAAGAAACGCAGCAAGTTCGGGGGCTGCAGGTTGCTGCTGCTGCTGCTTCTTCCTAAGTACGCTGATGCAGAGCCAGGAGCAGCAGAGCTGAGCTGCGCTCACACAAGTGCAGAACTGCACCCAGCAGGAACAGCAGCTACAGTAGCAGCAGCAGCGACAGCAGCAGCAACAACAACAGCAGCAGCAACAACAGCAGCAGCAGCAGCCACAGCCCCAAAGGGGGACCAGGTACTAAAGTAGCTAGCCAGAAAGCCCCAACCGGCTGTTGGCAAGCGCTGCTTCTGCCTCTGCTGCAGTACCTCTGGCTAGCCGGCTAGCAGGTTAGTTTGGCTAGCTGGCTAGCTGGTTAGTTTGGCTAGCTGGTTAGTTTGGCTAGCTGGCTAGTTTGGCTAGCTGGCCACTTTGGCTAGCTAGCTAGCTAGCTAGCTAACCAGCTAGCTAGCTAACTTGCGACCCGCAAAGTTCTCAGGCGGGGAGCCACTGTGGCCCAGATTTGCTGCGGCGGGCTGCAGTCAGGCATTACCGCAGCAGCAGCCACAGAGCTGCAGCAGCAGGATACAGAAGTAGCAGCAGCTCCTGCAGAAGTACCAGCAGCTAAAGAAGTAGCGGCAGTAGCAGCAGCACCTGAAGAGCTAGCAGCAGTAGCAACAGCAGCTGAAGAAGTAGCAGCAGCAGCAGCCAAAGCAGCGGCAGCAGCAGCAGCAGCAGCTTCTTACACAGACTAATAATTTAAATGTTCGGCTTCTACTGTCTTCCCCAAAATCTTTGCTGCGGGGCCCAGCAAAGACCCGGCGGCCCTAGGGCCGGGCGATACTGCAGCACAGGCCCTTTCCCCTGCTGTTTGCTGCCTGAGCAGCAGCAGCTAGCTGCTGCTGCTGCTGCTGCTGCTGGTACAAAACTTTGACGATTGGACTGCGATGCGCCGATTCAAAAGGCACGCCTCGCTCTAGCTGCCGGTGCATTAACTGCCGCAGCAGCAACTTGGGCTGCGGCGCCGGCAAGACGCTGCAGCAGCAGCAGCCAAGGCTGCAGCAGCAGCAGCAAAGAATGCAGCAGCAGCAGCCAAGGCTGCAGCAGCAGCAGCAAAAACTGCAGCAGCAGCAGCCGAGGCTGCAGCAGCAGCAGCCCCATCAGTTGAACAGTAGCCGTCAGTCCTTGTCGTTTCTGCCATGCTTGAAAACCCAGTCATTCCTGTAAAGAAGAGACTTGTCGAAGGACCAAGGCTTGCTGCTGCTGCTGCTGCTGCTGCTCCCTGCTTCTTTCCCGTGGCGGCCCTTTCGGTAACGGTCCTGTCTCTCCTGCTGCAGCTTCTTCCGCTGTTGCTGCTGCAGCTGCTGCTCCCTCTCCGCCTCCCTGCGCCGCTTCTTCACGAGCCGGTAGGCCTCTAACACCTGCTGCCGATAGGTGGGAGCAGCAGCTGCTGCTGCTGCTGCACCCTCCTGCTGCACTTCCGAAGCGGCCTTCCCTTCTGCAGCAAGAGCTGCTGCTGCTGCTTCCACCCTTGTGTTTGTCGCCCTAGCGCTGCAGAGACCAATCGCATGCAGAAAGCCACAAGCTGCTGATTCTCCAAGCAGCAGCAGCAGCAGAAGCAGCAGCAGCAGAGGCAACACTAGAAGAGGCAACAACAGCTGCTGCAGCAGCAGCTGCAGCACTGCCAAAGAAGGCACATGCAACAGAAGCTGCAGCAGGAGCAGCAGCAAAAGTTACTCAACAGCAAGAGCAGCACAAGCTGCTGCAGCAGCAAGAGCTGCCGCAGCAGCAAGTTGCTGCAGCAGACTGACCCGCTGGACTTGGCTTTGAGAGCTTCAAACTTTTGTTTGTAGGCTCGCAAGTCTGGAGGCCCATCAACCACATCATTCCACAGCATCAGCGGGGCTTTCTTCTCAGTCCCTGCTGCTGTTGCTGCTGCTGCTGTTGCTGCTGCTGCCTTTGCTGCTGCTCGTGTCGGCGCCGCGCCTGCTGGTGCTGCTGACCCCGCTGCTGCTGCTGCTGCTGCTGGTTCTACTTCACCCGCTTCCTGCGCAGCATCTTCCTTGCTTCGCTTCTTCTTGCCCCTGCAGCACAGCAGCAGCAACAGCCGCAGCAGCAGCAGCATCTTTGAACAAACGCACAGCAGCACAACCCCAACCCCAGGCAGCAACGTGCTTTCCTCAAGCTGCTGCTGCTCTTCTTCGACCTTACCCTGCTGCAGCCGTCGAGTGGTCTGATGACTTGGTGCTGCTTTTGGTTTGCTGCTTTTGCTGCTGCTGCTGCCTTTGCTGCTGCTGCTTTTGCTGCCGCTGCTTTTGCGGCTGCTCCTCTTGCTTTTGGTGCTTTTGCTCTTGCTGCTCTTGCTCGTGTTGCTCTTGCTCTTGCTGCTCTTGCTGCCGCTCTTGCTGCTGCTGCTCTTCCTGCTGCTGCTTCTGCTGCTGCTCCTGCAATCCTTTTCTCTGCTGCATCAGACGAAGCTTCCTCCGGATCCCTCTGGGAAGCTTCTCCGACTGCTGCTGCTGCTGCTGCTGCTGTTTCTGCTGCTGCAGCGTCTGCTGCTTGCGGGGTCTTCCCTGCTGCTTCTGCTGCTGCTGCTGCTGCTGCTGCTGCTGCTGCTGCTGCTTCTGCTGCTGCTGCCGGGGCTCAGCATTCTTCTTCATCTGGCTGCCCGTGGGGGGCAAGTTGTACTTCTTTCTCTCCTGCTGCTCATTCCGCAGCAAAACAGCAGCAGCAGTTAGCGAGCGGCCCCGGGGCTTCCTGCGGCCCCTGTGGACCTTCCAGCGCGAAGTCCGGCCCATGAGGCTCACTCGCGCAGCCGCTGCTGCTGCTACTGCTGTTGCTGCTGCTGCTGCTGCAGCTGCTTGCTGCCTTTGCTGCAGAACAGTCCGCGAAGGACTCAGCGGCGAGCTCGGAAGAGAGCCACGAAGACCCGTGGGCTAGCTCGGCCACAGGCGCGCTGCAGCTGCAGCCGTTTTCGCTGCTGCTGCCGCTGCTGCTGCTGCTGCTGCTGCTACATAATGGTGCAGCGGGCCTGCAGCGGGTCCACCAGCAAGTCGTCAGTGTCCACTTCGAGTCTGTCAAAAGAACCTTCTCGCCACTTCTCCACGTGGAAGGCCAAGTACTCTGCGTAGTGTGGGGAGTCGCTGCTTTCGACGAGGCAGCTGCTGCTGCTGCTGCTGCTGCTGCTGCTGCTCTGGCGGCGGCGCAGCGTCGCTGGGGCCGCCGCCGCCGCTGCTGCTGCTGCTGCTGAGGCCGCCGCTGCTGCTGCGCCCGCCAGGGCCAGCGCGCGTGACGGAAGAGATGACACAAAGTGCACTCGGCGGCTGCTCGGCGTGTCTGCTTCTGCTGCTGCTGCTGCTGCTGTTGCTGCTGTTGCCACGCCCGCAGCACGCGGCGGGTCTTTGCTGCCCAAAGACCGCGGCAGCAATGCAGAAATAATCACATCCAGCGCCCTGTGGCGCCGCTGCCTCTGCTGCTGCACGTCTCTGGCTTCGCTGCAGTACAGCTGGCTCTCCAGAAGCCGCTGCTGCTGCTGCTGCTGCTGCTGCTCCTTCTCCTGCTGCAGCGCGAAGCCAGCCGACGAAGGGCCGGAGTGAGGCTGCAAAGGGGTCCCCTCAGCAGCTGACGCGACGCACTCGGATTCGTCGCTCACTGAGGAGTTCTGCTGCAGCAGCTGCAGCTGCTGCTGCTGTTGCTGCTGCTGCTCCTGCTGCAGAGCGCCAAGGCAGGCGTCTACCCCTTCAACCGCACGGCCCCGTGCTGCCGCTGAGATCGACGCGGCCAGGCACAACGGGCACACAAAATTGAGGGAGAAGTCGCTGAACCACAGGCCGCTTCCCTGCTGCTGCTGCTGCTGCTGCTGCTGCCGGGGCCTGCTGTAGGGCCTCGAGTGGCAAGCGCGCCAGCCCGATATGCGGTGGCGCCGCTGAGGCCCTCTGCGGCTGCTGCTGCGGTTTCTGCTGCCAGCAGCAGGGCCAGACACCCGCTGGAAGTGTCTTCCTCGGGGCAAGCCCCCTGCTGCTGCAGTTGCTGCTGCTGCTGGCGAGCGCTGCCGGCGGCCCGAGTCGTGGAAGGGGCAGCGCCAGGGGAGAGGAGCAGCAAAGTCGATGTGCTGCTGCTGCTCCTGCTGCTGCTGACTCTCCTCGGGATGCAGATCCGGCTCGCTAGCGGCAGACTGGCCCGCCGAAGCCGCAAGGGACGCCAGTCGCTGCGGCACTGCTGCTGCTGTTGCTGCTGCTGCTCCCCCTGCTGCTAAGGCCGAATTCACGAGTCCGCTCAGGGCAGCGAACGCTGCTGTTCTGTACTCTGAGAGCGAGGGCGCGGTGCCGGCCTCCAAATATCCTTGCTGCTGCCTGCTGCTGCTGCTGCTGCCGCTGCCCGCGGCCGAGCCGCTGCACGGAATCGGCGAAAAGCAAGCGTCAGGGGGCCCAGTCGCTGCAGTAGTATCGCCCTGAGACTGGCCCACGCACTTCTTCATGTTGAACTCGGGGGCGCACTGGCGGTGCTGCTGCAGCTGCTGCTGCGGCGGCTGCGGCGGCAGCTGCTGCTGCGGCTGCTGCGGCTCTGCAGAGAATCTACCGAAGGATACAACTGCCACTTCAGGATGCTAACGCACAAATCGATAGCACGAGCTCCTTGGAATCCCCTCAAGGGTGCGGCTGAGCAGAGCCCCAACTGCACACGCAGCAGCAGCCACAGCAGCCGCTGCTGCTGCTGCTGCTCCTCTAGAAGGACGCGAAAACGGAGGCACAAAACAGCCCCTTACAAAAAGCTGGAGAGGCGTTTACCTCTTGAAGGCTTTGAAAAAAATTTTAAGTGATAGGCTCTGCACACACGCGCCGTTGAGGCAGAGCCCGTGATGGGGGAGCGCCTGCTGCTTCTGCTGCTGCGGCTGCTGCGGCTTCTGCCGCCGTAGCTTCCGCTGCTGCTGCAGTCAAAGGCTTCAAAATGGAGCTTTAAACTGTTCGTTTTGAAGGCTGGAATAAAGAAGTCGCCGGTTATGGCATTATCTTGCCTCCTTTGGGCACTGGGCGCTTCGCAGCGGAGCAGAGCACAGCAGCTGCATCACACAGCTTTAATACACCCTTAAAAAGTGAACACACACTTCGCTTCCTTCCCTGTTTTTAGTTCAAGAGAAAAGCTGACAAACTTCGGGCGGAGAGGCCCTGCAGCAAACCGCACTTGGCGCACCCACAGCCTCCTGCGCCCGTAGACAAGTCCTGCAGCTGCAAGGGCTGCCCAGGTGCTAGGGGCCGCTTAACAATGAAAGCTGTTTGAGGAACTGCATGCAAAAGGAGTGGTAGAGTTTATTAATATAAACTGTTTGAACTAAAGGTGGAAGTGTAGGGGAGCAGCCTCTGAAAGGGGCACGTCGGTGGCTCAGCCGGCACAGCGTTTCCCAAGTTAAAAGACCCCGAGTTGGGTTTAAATAAAGCATTTAAATTGTTTTCACGCTTGTCTCTACGCGTAGATGATGTCCCAAAGGGTTTCACCGAGTACGATCTGTCAGATTCTTCCGTTATTCTGCAAAACGCAGACAAGCATCCGCAACTATTTCCGTTTCTTAAGCCACTTCTGCTCCAATGTATCGCCTTTCAGAATAGTTGTGTACTTTTTAAAGTGGCTGGTTATGGATGCAATGGCTGCCAGAGGCATACTCTTGGAGGCGATTGCTGGAGGCGATTGCTGTACCAATTTATAGAGCGGACGGCCAGCTCTGCCTTTCCATAATGAACCAGCAAGTTGCTGTCGAGGCCTTTAACGTTTGTCTTCAAAAGCGCTTCAAGTAGATATAGTCACTTTAGTTAGTGAGCCGATCGGGAGGTGGCTTTGCTTTGAAACTTTTTGCTGCGTAGCCTTGAAGTATGTTTTGTGTTTTGTCGATTATGAGTAGATCGAGCTCTCGTTACGTTGGCTTTGTGTAGCCGGTTGAATGCAAAGCCCAAAGACCACTTGCTACACAGCACCTTATGCCGCCTTTTGTATCACAGGCTTGTGACCAAGAGCACCGACTGAGTTGTGAACAGTGGCTTTTGAGCAAATTGAATTGGCGGGCTCATAGGCCAGAAGAGCCTGTAAAGCAAATGCGCGCCTTTCCCAAGTTGAACTGGCCACCCATACTTGAGCTTGCTGCACTAACTGTGCTCGATGGCGTAGGATAGCACATGTTATCGGCAGCACTACAGCGTAGCCCAGAGACGGTCTTTTAAGCTATATAATTCAGAATATGTAGGTCGACCTGCACAGCAGAAATACTAAACTCTCAATGAAGTTGGTTCCTCAGTTGATAAAGTCTGGTGTGTACCGTGGTCAGGCCCAGGTGTTGGGGCTAGCAAGAGGCTCTGGAGCTGCAGTGCGCCGAACGCCAGTGCGCTCAGGAAGAACGTTGGAGGAAAACGGAAACGCAGAAGGAATGCAGATGCAACATTCGAAATGGGGGCTAATAAAGATCTTGTTTAAATCCTTTTTATAGGTCAAAAACGCCTTTAAGTGGTAGGCAACGAGGTCTCAAGTCCAGACTGAAAGAAGCATTTGGAAGTCCAGCTGAGCTAATCTCACAACACTTCATCGCCGCCAACCTATGTTAGCGTACATGGCAGGCTGGAGGAAGCCGAGCGTTTTGGCCTGGGAACATCACACGCACAATAACCTCTTTTGGATCTTTTGAATTTGGGGCAGTTCGCTGCCACTGACACTTTAAAGTGCTGTGGGGTCTCAGCAGTACTGCGAGCCACGCGTGTGTCGTTCTGCTTAGCTTACTGATGACCGGCAGCTAGGGGCTTAAAACCCGCATTTTACCTTAGGAAGGTTGTACGAAAAATAACATTTCGTACTTACGTGAAGAAATCGCATATGAACAAGTGTGTGTTTTGTTAAACGAACTAGGAAAGAAACTGCGACGGCCGGAGCTTCAGTACATTGAATTAACTGAAAAGGTCCTACTTCGTATTGCTTTACATTGGGAGAGAGCTCGGAAGGTCTTAGTTAGTTTTGTTCTTCATTTTATGCTTCGCTTTGAAGCGACGGCAAGCCATGTGTCTCTAGAGTTTCGGTAGCACGAAGATCTTGCAGGCTCTTCATCCGTAGGATTCGGACTGGGTGCGACAAGTGCAGGTTTCAGATGGAAATCGAGTAGCCAAGCACCTGACAATCGCAAAAGGTGGCGAATTTAGACGCAGTTACTCTGAAAACTTTTGTGACTGTTACGCTTTTCTCTATGCCTAAATGTGCAGATACGGATTCAAGTCCTCCTGCTTTGCAGCTGGCCAGCGGCTGATGCCAACCCTTAGCCTCGACTGTTCCCAAAAGGTTCTTGAAGGATAAAACCGGAATCCCCTTTCGTGCCTTTCTCTTCTTCGTTTATTGCAGAATTCATTCATGGCTATTTTTTTCAGGGCAGCTTTTTCTCGTTATTGTTAGCCCCTTACAACACTTGCCAAAACAAGCAGGAATATATTATTGTTTCTAATACAACGCTTTCTGAGGAAATCTTCCTGGCTTAACCACAAGGAGCCAGAATTGCATAATGGTGCGGACCCCCGAAGAGGTTTGAATTAAGCTAGCTTGGAAGCAATTGCGGCCAGTTAATCTTTGACAGAAACGTGGTTTTTCTAGTGTCCCTTGCGTCCAAAGAATCGAGAAACAGAGCCCTTTGCTTTTCTGGTTACACTGTCATTTTGTTTTCCTTGTTACACTATCACATTAGTCGGACACTCGTGATGAACACCTAAGCGGGGCTCTTCCTCAACGCAAACTTTCAATTAAGCTGCACCAGTACTATAACCTTTTGATGTCTATGACCTCTTTTCAATTAATCTGTATCCCGAACTTCACAAGATTCGTTCCAGTTGCGCGCTACTACATCTGTCATCAACTTTGGTGTCTCGCACTCAACTGATTGGTATCTTGCCCGTTATCTTGACAGCATGTTTCTAACCGAGTGCAACAAACAGTTCAACTCGGCTTTCTTTGGTTTCCAGCTTCATCAATAAGTTTTGCATGGCACGCGCACTTAGGCGCTATTCATATTCTAGTTCTCGTAGTATATGAAAGATTAATTAACCTGTAAGGTAAGCACTATGTGAAAATTATGTCTGCTGCAACCCTCTTTGTCCTCCTAAACGTGATATAAGCAGCTACGGGATACAGAAATTGTCTTTTCTGGCCTTTTGAATGATGAGGCACTCGAAGTGCCAATCAAACTGTACTCTGCAGCCTACAAGCCACTAACGCCAGGAAACAGAGTTGCAGGCTTTGGCGCTTTTGTGTGCAGCTGCGTTCCAGAGGGCCTCCTTATGTGTGTATTTTAATTTAGACAAGACTTAAAATGTATTTCCTAAAGCTAAATCATTTCATGAATGTCTTCTTGAGCACTTCGAACTCTGCACTGGTGCTGGTTGCTGCACTGCCTAGGCAGCAACTGCGGCAAATGGCCCTATTACCACTGGCCAGGAGCCATCAGCGTTCCTCAGGGAATTGAAACTTGCGAAAAAATAAACCAAAACAATAGACGCACCCAGAATTTGTTAGCAGAACTCCTATAGGCACATTCGGGGACTAAGAGGCTGCTACACACGGCAGCGAGGGAGGCGTGGGGGCCAACAGCCGCTTGACTCAGCGATCTAAGATATCTTTGCTGCGCAATTTTACCCGTTCTTACCTGTGAATATCGAAAAGAAGTAGAAAACCACGTTTCGACGCAGACAGAGTGCTACAGCCCCTCACATGCATGCCTGTAGTGCGTTAGGTGCCGGATCAAATAATTGGTGAATGGTCTGTTTTTTGCATTTAAAATGGCAATTGTTTCTTACTAATGCATTTGGTATTTCAGCAGATGAGGAGAACGGGGTGTTCTCCCCCCGGGGTTCCTGCGCCATGCACGCAGTCTCACCCAGCCCCAGCCGCTACTGCCTGTGCCTTGTTGCCACTAGGCTCGGGGAGCTTTCGTATTGCGTGACTATTTAAGCAGAATTCTTCGCTAAATCGCCAATTTTTCACTTTTTCCGTTTTCCTCTCCAAGTCCTAGACCCACTGTAGCGGCGGGCACCACGGCAGCCGCAGCACCTAACGCGGGCCGCGCATCCCTATAGGCCTAGACGGCGCTGTTTTCCTTCAGAGGGTTTTCTTCTGCAGTTCTGGGCAGTCCTTCTGGCCCAGTTTGCGTGCTGCTGCTGTTTGAGCAACAGCAACAGCAGCAGCTGCAGCCGCTGCAGCAGCTGCTGCTACCCTTATGGCCCTGGCTCCTCCCTCCCCTCTTTCTTCACTATGAGTGAATCCGACGGCCAGCAGCGCATGTCGCTGCTAGTAAGAAATCTCAGCTACCAAACGAGCCCCGAGGTATGGCTGCTGCAGCTTCCCTAGTCTGGGGCTTCCCCGGGGGCCCCCACTGCCTCTCCCGGGGCCCCCGGCTGCTGCTGCTGCTGCTGCAGCAGCGGCAGCAGCAGGAGCCCCTGCTGCTTTCTGTCTGCAAACGCTAACAAGTGCTTCGGGGCCCCCCGCTGGGCCCCGGGGGCCCGCGGGGCCCCCGGGGGCCCCCCTGGCCTTCTGCCTGGGCGGGCGTATCTGCGTCTCCCGCTTTCTCTGTGTCCGAGGCCATCATTTTGCTGCTTCCAGTGCCCGCTTTCTCTGCTGCTGCTGCTCTCCGTGTCTCTGGCTTTTGTCGCTGCCTCTCTGCTGCTTCAGCTGCCTCTTGACTCCCTGCAATTCCCTCTAACCCTCAATCTTCTCCACGCCAAACCCCTCTCTCTCCGTTCTGAACAAGTGCCTCCCAGCGAGCCCCCCTGGCTGCCCCTGCGGCCACCCTATATGTCTCTGCCCCCGGGGGCCCCGCAGGGCCGGCCCAGGGCCCCCCAGGGGGCCCCCGGGGGC